GCGCGGCCGGGGGTTGGGGGGAAAGGGGGAGGCGGCATCTGGGTCACAGGCCCCTCTTGCCTGCTCCGGGACACTGTTCTGGGCCTCCCAGAAGGCTCTGTCCCCCTTAACCTCGGCCTCCCTCCCACCTGGGACCTTCTTTTGCCGCCCTGGCTGGATGATGGATGTTTGTTCCCATCCCGGGATTTCCCACTATAGAGAAGAGGCTCAGACCCAGGGGGTTTCCTGCCCAGACTTTTACCAAAATAATCTCCAACCCAGCAGCTGTCTTCTCAACAGGTTTCTCTCCAGGGGCTCTCTGAGAATGGAGAGGTTCTCTGGGAGGCACTGAGGTCTCTATTCTTGGGAGGCCCTATTAGGGCTCAAGGTCTGGGCTGGATTCCTGAGCTGGCCTCAGCCCTCCAGGTGCTCAGCTCCACAAACAACTTTAGACAATCCCCTGCCGTTTTGGGATGCCAAAGGTCGCACAACTTAACAGGAACCCACGAGCTTGACTTCACCTTACACCTGCTCCTTGACCCCCTGGGTTTCCCATCTCCCAGAAAGCATACAGCGTTGAGGTCTGCAGGCAGACACCTGGTATTGTCTTTGATTCTTCCCCCATCCTCACCCCTCTCTCACCAAGACCTGCCCATTCTATGTCTAAAATACATCTCATGTCTGTCCTCTTTATCTGGATGGCTCCTCTCAGGACCACACCCCTATCATTTCTCACTGGAGGACTCTAAGAGCCTCCTGTTGAGTCACTCTTTAACCCACACTTCTGGCAGAGTGATCATTTAAATGCAAATTTGATCTTGTCACTCTTCAGGTGGCCCAGCTGACCCTCCTCACCTCTTAGACCCAACTAACTCTTGCTCTGTGTACATGCTCCAGTCTGCGAATGTACTAACTCCTTTCTGCAGTTGTTCCCCTAGCCTAGAAATCTCCAGTCCAACCCAGTCTCCCCACCCTAAGCTGCAACCCCTTTGCCTAGTAACTTCAACCATCTTTTATATTTCAAACATCACCTCTCTTGAGAGCCTTTTCTGACATCTACTCTCCTGCTACATGTCCCTGCTCTATACTCTCCCAGCTTCCTGAATTCACAGCATTTATACCACTTTGTTGTTTTATATCTATATGGTTATTTGATTAATGTTTCTCTCTCCAGCAAAAACATAAGCTCCACAAGGCAACAGACCATGTCAGTTTCATTCACTATTGTAGCCTGAGCTCTTGGCAAGTGGTTGGAACTCTGCAGAGCTCATGGTAGAGCTTCTTCTCATCTTTGCATCACTGAAGAACAGAGATATGCATAAAAATCTATGTTTTAGACTTTTGTGGAATGCTAACATATGTGGCTCACCAGAAGAGATCCACCTATGTGACTATACTATTGGGATTTGAGATTCGATCATTTTCATCAACACCTCAAAGACAGAAGACTGTAAGAGAAACTAGATAGCATTGGTCAGATCCTACTGCTATGCCCTGGCTTTGTTTGGCCACATCTGGAAAAGTATATCTCCCACCCAAACATCTGGCCAAGCAGAACTGGTAAGAGGCCTGGGGAGGCTCCTGGGAGGCAGAGCCCAGTGAGCTAGGTCCAGGGCTCAGATGGCTAGATCCTGAGATCTGTAGGTCTGTAGGGCAACTTGTTTTCAAAGCTTCTCTGGTTTACTGGGGACAAGCCCCAAGAGCCAAGGTACACTAAGAAACACAGCCTTTGTTCCCCTTTGCTGGATAAAGCATCTCTGGGGGTATTGGGTTAGTCTTATGTACGTCACTGCCTCTCAGCCTGATCCCTCCTCAGGGACCATCTGTCAGAGGCTGACGCACCCATTCCAGGGCAAGGCAGGTCCGTGGTCCCTTTTTCCAGTCTTCTGGTCAGTTTTTCTCTGCAGCATGACCTGCCCTTTCCCTATATCTCAAAAGCAAACCTTGCTATACAGTTTTACTGACGCTACTACATATATTTCTCTCCTTTGATCCTTAGGAAAGTGCCATTTCACAGATGAGGATGCTGGACCTCAGGGAGCTAAAACAGCTTGCCCAGCCCACACAGCTGCTAAGGAGCAAAGCCAGCATGGGAATCCATGTCTTCTGGCTCCCAATTCAGCATTGTTTCTCTCCTAAGCCCTACTTCCTGTCTGTCTGAATAGTCCTCCAGTCCCCTTATCCTTCAAACTCCCAGCCAATGCTCATTCCAGCCTGTGATCTTGCCCTGACAGTGGGAGGAGGGGTGGCAGCCTCTCCCCTGAGAGTCTGAAAATAAAAAAGATTTTCATGAACCCAGAGAGGATATGATGACCATCAAGATCTGCTCCATGGCCCTCTAGGAGGCCGCAGCCAGAATTCCACTACAGTGTCTCTGGAGGCAGGGTCAGCTTTCCAGGTGGTCCAATTGCCAGTCCTGACCACTCTCAGCACTGATTCCCAGCAGAATCCTTGCAGATAACCCCACTCATTTTGCGTCAACCAAAGGAGAATCTCAACGTTCCCAAAAGTGAATTTTGGAAAGTACTGAGCCCATTTGTAAAATGAAAAAACTTAGAGATGGGAAAGGATCTTTCCCAAGTTACATAGCAAATGAGAGGAAAATCCAGAACTAGAGCCAGCTCTACTGCTTTTAATCCAGTGCTCTTGCTAATATACCCCAAATATTAATCATCCCATCATAACCAGTACTTTTTGTTCTAGATAGCACTTCTAGGTTTGTCTGTCTCATTTGTTGCATAAAAGCCGTCTGAGTTCATTATTATTTGGGCCATTTCACTTTTAGAAGAAGTGATCATTTCATAAGTGGGGTGACAGACACAGACTCAGTAATTTCAGTCTTTGGACTTCCAGTCTTTCCATTAGAGCATGCTGCTTCATGAGCATGCGCCCACCCCATTGCGACCCCTTAGAGAGCAGCATTTACTGGAAGTTACCTTGTGCCTAAGCAAGAAGCTGTGTGCTTTACATACAAACAACCTCATCAAAGCTTCAACCTGTGAAGCAGTATTGGCACCCTGTTTTGTGAGAGAGAAAACTGAGGTTCAGAAAGGGTAGAGTCACTTGCACAAGTAAATGGTAAGGAGAGTCAAACTCAGGCTTATCTAACTTCAAAGGCCACTGGTCCTTAAATCACGTGGGAACAACCCACAGAGCCTGACATGTGACGGGTGCTTATTACATGTTTGCAGAAGGGTAGGGGAGAGGCTGTATACACTTTAGACCTAGAATATGTCCGGGAGCCAGGTTCAGCCAGAAGTTTGGTGGGTGATTCCCAAGGATGGGGCAGATACCCCAGCGACAATGGAACACACCCTATTCTTCCCTCTCATATCTCAGAGTGTGGGGGATTTGTGCCCTGCCACTGACCCTGGCAGGCTGGCTGCCCCAGCCCTGTGGCCCTTGTCACTGTTTATCTGGCTTTCTTTGTACATAAAGCTCTTCTTCCCTGAGAGTTCCCTGAGGGCAGAGCCTGAGCAGGATACATCTGGGCCCCGATGCCCAGCCCAGGGTCTGGGCCACAGCAGGCATCGTTCAACAGTCCCTGAATTGAAGCATTTATGTCTGCTGGGGGGAGGGCCTTCTGGGGAGTGCTACAATGAGGCATCTATAAGTCAGTTTCTGCCAGATGTCCAGCTGCTTCCCTCCTCGGAAGGGTCTGCTCTTCTAAGAACAGGCTCTAAAATTGGGGTTTGGCTGAAATGACAAAATGCTGTGGAGGAAAAAAAACTGTACTGACCCTTTATGCCTTAGCTCCAATCCACCACCTTCAAGAAGCCCTCACTGCCATCTTTGGTTGTGAGTGACCCCTCCCCATATAGGAATCCCTCTCTCTTTTCATTCTGTTCACAGTCTTTGTGTGACGTGGCAGTCACTGCCCAGGCTGCACACTCATGGAGAACAGAAGCCAGCTCTGATAAACCTAGATCTCTGTTATCAGTTTTATGTCTCTGACCCATGAAGACCCAATGACACTGAATCTGAGACCCCTCCACCACCACCTCCTGGTGTTGGGCCCTTCTCCTGCTGGCAGGACAGGCTCAGAGAATTGTTTCTCTAAACAGCAATTTCTGCTTAGCAATTTGAAAAGGCTAATATGTTAAGCTCGGTGTGGTGGTCTGCTCCTGTAATCCCAGCAACTCAGGAGGATTCAGGAGGAGGATCACAAGTTTGATGGCCAGCCTCAGCCACCTAGTGAGACCTTCCTTCAAAATAAAAAATAAAAAGGGCTGGGAATGTAGCTCAGTGGTAGAGCACCTGCTTAGCATGTACCAGCCCTTGGTTCAATCCCCAGCACTGGTGGGGGGGGGAAGGCTAATATTTTACATAGGAAATTATATGATACAAAATCTAAACCAAACACAAGATGTAAGAGAGATATCTAAAGTCCTATTGCCTATTATAAGCTATAAATAATTAGTAGTTGGTGGCGTTTCACTAGGATGTGTGTGTGTTAAGAGGGTACTAGGTCTCCAATCCAGAGTCCTTCACATGCTTGGCAAGCACTATACCACTGAGCTATACCCCCAGCCGGGATCTGTGATTGAGGCAAGCTCTCCTGGCTTCAGAAAACTAGAGAGCTTTGAACTTATGAAATGCCTTTAGAAATACCCCAAAAACGAACTGACTCTCCTTCTGTTCTAGAGAGTCAGGTTTGGATGAGCTAAGAGACCTGAGGTTGTTTTCCCTTTCCCACTCCCCTCCTCCTTTATTTTACTGAGAGGAAACAGGCTCAGACAGGGAAACCGATGGCTCAAGGATACATGGTGGTAGAGCACTTGCTTAGCATGTGTAGGGCCCTGAGTTCAATTCCCAGCACTAGGGGTTGGGGGGCTGTTGGGAATGAGGGATAGGGGTGGAGGGGGAGAAAGAAAGGAAGACTACATGGTGAGTTAGTGGTAGATGTGGGACTGGGATCCAGGCTGGCAGATTCCCAGTCAGTCCTGCAGTTCTTTCAGGGTGTGTGTCTGACACTAAGCATTTGGTGACCCAGGGACATTAGGCCCTCTACTAAGCATTAGGCCCT